GAGGGATTGTGGCCTCGGGAGCGCGAGTAAGATTTAATGTGCAAGGGATCGTGGCGTCGGAAACACGAGTGTTGCGCAAGTTGCGAGGGATTTTTCTTTCGACAGCGCGAATATGGTGCAATTAGGGAGAGATTGTATGTAGCCTCGGCAGCGCGAGTACGGCGCAATGTGCAAGGGATTGTGGCCTCGGCAGCGCGAGCATGGCGCAATTTGCTAAGTATTGTGGCCTCGGCAGCGCGAGTGTGTCGCAGTTTGCAAGGGATTGTTGCTTCGGCAGCGCGAATGTGGTGCAATCTGCAAGGGATTCTGGCCTTGGCAATGTGAGTATGGCAAAATTGGCGACGAATTGTTGCTTCGGCAGCGCGAGTATGGCGCAACTTGCAAGGGATTGTTGCTTCGGCAGCGCGAGTATGGCGCAATCTGCAAGGGATTGTGGCCTCGGCAACGCGAGTACGACGCGATTTGCGAGGTATTGTGGCCTCGGCAGCGCGAGTATGGCGCAATTTTCAAGGGATTGCGGCCTTGGCAGCGCGAGTATGGCGCAATCTGCACGGGGCAACGCGAGTATGGTGCAATTTGCTAAGGGTTATGGCATCGGCAGCGCGAGCATGGCGCAGTTTGCAAGGGATTGTGGCCAGGGATTGTTGCCTGAGCAGTGTGAATACGTTTCAATTTGCATGGAATTGTTGCCTCGGCAGCGCGAATATGGTGCAATTTGCAAGGAATTGTGGCCTCGGCAGTGCGAGTATGGAGCCATTTGCAAGGGATTGTGGCCTCGGCAGCGCGAGTATGGCGCGATTGGCGACGAATTGTTGCTTCGGCAGCGCGAGTATGGCGCAACTTGCAAGGGATTGTGGCCTCGGCAGCGCGAGTATGGCGCAACTTGCAAGGGATTGTGGTCTCGGCAGCGCGAGTATGGCGCAATCTGCAAGGGATTGTGCCCTCGGCAGCGCGAGCGTGGCGCAATTTGCAAGGGATTGTGGCGCGAGTATGGCGCAATTTTCAAGGGATTGCGGCCTCGGCAGCGCGAGTATGGCGCAATCTGCAAGGGGCAACGCGAGTATGGTGCAATTTGCTAAGGGTTATGGCTTCGGCAGCGCGAGCATGGCGCAGTTTGCAAGGGATTGGCCTCGGCAGCGCGAGTGTGGTACAATGTGCAAGGGATTGTTGCCTGAGCAGTGTGAATACGTTTCAATTTGCATGGAATTGTTGCTTCGCCAGCGCGAATATGGTGCAATTTGCAAGTAATTGTGGCCTCGGCAGCGCAAGTATGGTGCAATTTGCAAGTGATTGGCTTCGGCAGCGCGAGTATGGAGCCATTTGCAAGGGATTGTGGCCTCGGCAGCGCGAGTATGGCGCGATTGGCGACGAATTGTTGCTTCGGCAGCGTGAGTATGGCGCAACTTGCAAGGGATTGTGGACTCGGCAGCGCGAGTATGGCGCAATCTGCAAGGGATTGTGCCCTCGGCAACGCGAGTACGGCGCGATTGGCGACGAATTGCTGCTTCGGCAGCGCGAGTATGGCGCAATTTGCAAGGGATTGGCCTCGGCAGCGCGAGCACGGCGCAATTTTCAAGGGATTGTGGCCTCGGCAGCGCAGGCCTACTGCAAGTTGCAAGGGTGTATGGGGATGTGCAGATCTCGCGTGCCTTTACGTGTCCCACGACCCTCCGGAAATTCTGAGAAACGTCCCTGGGGAGGGTAACCAGGGTCCTTTTCGGCTCCCCCTCCTCGCGCGGACAGTAGCAATTCACATTAGGGAGTATACTTGAGGACTATAACGTTGGAGACTGGAAATTGGAACTGGTGCAGGGTACTGTAACCCTCATGCTCGCAGCCTGATGGCCCTGCAAGTAGGCCGGCGGACAGTCCTTGGTTTTGATACTCTTCTTGGTTTTGGAAGCAGGCCCTGGGATTTGACTGTTGGTTTCGAAGCGTGCTCCACCTGGGCCCAATGTGGGGGATTGTTCGGGGCTCGTGCTGCGCCGCCTTCGTTGGAGCTTTAATAACGGTTCAGCACCAGAGAACGATGGGGGACAAAAGAGTTGCTTCACTCGAGGCTCAGAATGCTCTCGAAAAGGCTCCCGACCTTGTCCCGATGAATTGATTAACTCGTTCCTCATTTCCTTGGGCACAGTATGTCCGGATCTGATTGTTGTGCGCCTCTGTTAGTGTTGCTGTGTTTGGGTCCAGTATTTTCTCATCCCCGTTCTGCTGAGTTTTTTTTTGTTGAATCATAGTTTCTTATATAACGGATAGTAGCACTTGTCCTGTCTCTCACATTTGTTTGCCTGCCTACATTCGTGCTCTCTCTTTGGCCGACCTCTCGCTGGTCTCGGCCGCCTGCTTGTTGGTTGACTCTGTGTGCCGCCCGCTGTTGTCCTCCGCCCCGCCTCCGCGCCGCCGCCTCCCTGGCCGCCCGCTCGGGACCCTCGTCGCCGCGTGCTGGCAGCGGGGTGGGCGGGGGGTTCCGCGGGGGAGGCGCCACAAGAATATACCGGCACCCGAACGGCCAGCGCGGAGCTTTTCCAAGGTGTTCTGTCTTCGTCACTGCCCGCCCGCGAAGCTCCCGTTGAAGTGCGAGGCGGCGTGCTCTCTTGCTGGCGCTCTCGCGCCGAGGTCTCGTTGAAGTACGGGGCTCCTGTGTCGTGTGTGTGTGTGTGTGGCTGTCTGCTTGGGCTCTCGTTTTTGTCTGGGGCCTCTCCCTCCCCGTGGTGGTTCCCCTGCTTGCTTCCCTGCTGCCGTTGCTTCGTCGCTGTTGCTGGTGCTGGCTCCCCCCCCTGCGTGCCCGCTCTGCTGCCACTCCGCTGTGCCCTTACCTGCTGGTGGTGGTTGGGTGGGCCTTCGCCTGGCCCGGGCTGCTGGCAGGCTTTCGGAGGACGGTGGTTTCCGCACTCCTTGTCGCTGGCGCGCCAGGGGAGCAGAAACCGTCCGTCAGAGTAGACCCTGCCGCCCCGCCTGCCGCCCCTCTTGCTTCTCAATTGTCCTGCTCTCTTTTGGCTTGCCTCCCTTCCTCAATTGAGCGCCTGCTGGCGCTGCAGCGCTGAGTGAAAAACTAAAGGTTGTGTGCGCTCCGCCGGAGAACACAAACTCCTCCTCCTCGTCGCCATCCTCCTCCTCCTCCTCCTCCTCCTCGTCCTTGCCAATGTCCTCCTCGCCCTCTTCGTCGCCGTGCGGCGCAAATTGCAGGAATCTGGCGACGCTGGTAGATCCTGCGTCGTTCCATTCGTGCCACGTCGTGGCGTTTATTTCGTCCTCCTCTTCCGATTCCTCCGTCCTTCTCTCTTGTAGATAATTCCTCGCGGTCGCCTCGCCAAGCTTGACGTTAGTGCACATCTTGTTCAAAATGAAGCCATCGCTGGATCTTCCTGCCTCCTTGCGATCTGTCGTCTGGAAGGATGGAGGGTTCACCAAGCGGGGTTTCGTCTGAATGGCAGGCCTACGAGGATTCGACTGTCACAGGGTGCGTGTCCCGCAGTGAAACGGAATACTTGAAAGGGACTCATGCGGACGGGATTTGGGACGGGAGGGTGTATCGCAGCATCGTTGATGCATCTTGGGTTGTTCACTATGGTCCTCCTCCGTCCTCCTCCTTCTCCTCCTTCTCCTCCTCCTTCTCATCCTTCTCCTCCTCCTCCTCCTCTTCCTCCTCTTCCTCCTCCTCCTCCTCCCGTCTCGCTCCCCGTCCTCCTCCTGCTGGGATGTCTGCGTCCACTTGCGAGCCCCACGCCTGTGGGTCCAGTCGATGCCGCAGACGCCGCCGCCTGCGCCGCCGCCAACGCCGCTGCCGCCGCTGCCGCCGCCGCCGCCGCCGCCGTCGTCGTCGTCGTCGTCGTCGTCGTCGTCGTCGTCGTCGTCGTCGTCGTCGTCGTCGTCGTCGTCGTCGTCGTCGTTGTCGTTTTAACTAGGCTGGGTGGTGGCCGCCCCTCGATCACCGAGGCTCTAGGATCGAGTTCTCGGCCTCTTTCGCGCATTTCTGGTGGGGGGTCGCGATCGGAGGCCTCCTCGCCGCCACGGCTGGATTCCCCTCCAGGGTCCTCGTCAAGAGGCGCCCCAGGAGAGGTCTGGGAGGTGCCCCCTCAGATCTGGGCGCTGCACCGCCTGAGATCCAGGCGGGGGCCCCAGTGCTCACCCTCGAGGAGTGTCTGGGCGCTCTGGGGGCCTGCTTAAACAGTCTCGATCCTTCGGAGGTCTGGGACCTGCTTCCTCCGCCTCCGTGCGATCGGGCCTCTCGCTCGGTGGATGGTCAGGCGGTTCTCCGGAGCTGACGCTTGGCTTCCTCCAAAAGAAGGCCCCGATCACGTCGTGAGCAGATGCATCGGGAGGTCTGTGCGGACTTCTTGGGTCGGCGCTGGACCCTCCCTCTCCACACCCCTGGGGCTGCCCCTCCGGGGCCGCCGTTGGCGCGCTCCGCGCGCCAGACAAGGCGTGCGGAGAGTCCATCGCCGAGTCGAGTAGTCCGCGCGCACCACTGACTGTTTTTTGCTTTGTTTTCTTATCCCGGGATGCCGACACAGAAACGGGTGAGGACCTCGACAGCTCACACCCGAGATTTGGGTGCTGCAGTTGTTTCGCGCGGGGCCTCTTCGCCCAGCTTTTGGGGCCCTGGGGCCCTCGCGGGTCGATCCGGCTTGAGGAGGGCCCAAGAAATGGGATTTCTAGGGTTTTGGCCATGGTTGTCCATGATGTTGCAATGTTTTCGCGTCGTCGGACCTCAGGGATCGGTGCCGGGGGTCGGGGGGGGGACTTCCCGCTCATATTTTGGGGGGGGGACTGATCCAGGGGGGAGGAGTCGACCTCCAGTCGCCCATCCATCACCGACCGGGGCTTGGGTGCCCGCTTGCACTCAGGATTGTTGCGCTTCGCTGACGGCGTCCTGTCGCAGAGCTGCCGGCGATGTTCCGACGATTCGGGTCGAACGTCCCACTCCTTTGAGCCAGTCAATGCCCCCTGACGCTTCTGTTTATGCTTGCTTCTGCTCCTCTCGCCTCTCGCCCCAGGTCGCGAAGGCCACGAGGCGGATTCTGGGCGACTCCGTCACCAGCCGCAGGGTCCAGGCGCTCATGAGCAGGGCCGAGGGCTACGAGCGGAGCGTCATGTCCAGCGATGAGCACGCGGCCAAGGAGGCGCGGAGGGAGGCCAGGAGGCTCCGGAACTTGCCAGGGCGCGCGGCTTCGGGGGCGGTGAAGCTCCACGGGGAGGCAACGACTCCGGAGGGCTTCAGGGTGGGAAGCGACGAGGACATCCAGAACGAGGTCAACAAGATGATGTCGGAGGCGGAGGCCATGCAGGCGCGCAAGAAGGCCTTCGAGGCTGTCCACGGCCTGGGAACGTTCAAGACTCCCAGCGCCATGGCCCAGGCCACGCAGACGCGCCACGGCTCCCAGGACGGCCACAAGCTCTCGATGTCGCTGGCCAAGAAGGGGGCGGAGGCCAATCAGGCCGGGTCTGCCTCCGATCTGCGCAGCGGGGCGGACAGGCACTTGCACGAGGAGGAGGCTCGCCGGCACCGCGTGGCGCTCCGCGAGAGGGCGGAGGCGTCCAAGTCCCGCTCCGAGGCGGAGCAGCTCGGGCTGCAGAAGCGGCGGGGGCAGAAGCACCGCGTGCACGGCACCCGCGACGACCACGCCGGGGCCCAGGACGGTGCGAAGAGCTACGAGGAGCTCAGCGTGGAGCGCAGGCGCCAGGCGAGGCTTTCCATCGAGAAGGCGAAACGCGAGCACGCCGCGAGGCAGCGTGGCCAGGGCAGCGCGGAGGCCTCCGCGCAGTCCCGCGACCGCCGCCTGATCCAGGAGCTCAACGCTGTGCGCCGCGACCTGGTGCACTCGCTGCAGGACGGCACCGAGGTGGACGACGGCGCCGCGCGCACGGAGAACAGCCTCATCCGTGAGGCGGAGCGGGTGCTCGAGGAGGCGCGCGCGGCGCGCCAGCGGGGCCTGCCAGTGGCGCTGCAGCGCGGCAGCCGCGCCCATGGGGCCTCCGCGGCCTCGGCGGCCGAGCTGGCCAGCCGCGGGGCGGCGATGGCGATGCACGCGTCGAGGGCCGCGGAGAAGGACAGGGGGCGGCCGCGGGGGGGAGGGAGGTCGACAAGGGCCAGCGGCCCCGGGCTCCGCCTCTCCCGCCTCCCCTCCCGCCTTTCCTGCCTGCTGGCTCCCCCGGCGAGGGGGCCAACGGCCCCCAGGCCCACCCATGATGGTTTTGCAATGGTGGTGGTGCCTTGGGCCGCCGTATGTACGGAGGCCAACTGTGCTCAACAATTGATCTTATAACGATACTGGTGCCCTGATCTGAATTCTCCCTGGCCCACTCTCCCCTGGGCCTCGCGGGGTGCGTCTGGAAGCCGCCAGAAAGTCTCCAGAACGGACGAGGAGCACGCACATTCATCGGTGGAACCTCCATTTTCGACGTTTTGGCCCTGGCAGCGCCCGAGCAGGAAACGCTGCCAGGGATCCTGATTAAACGTATTCTCGAAGCGCTGGTGCTGATGGTCTCCGCTCGAACGTCCGACTGGCCTTCGTCGAGCTGGCCTTGCCTCCCCTCTCCCCCCTCCCAATCTCCTCCCTCCCATCCCCCTCCCTTTCCCCTCCCCCCCTTCACAATTACTCAATATGAATGCTACCCTGTAACGCCCCTCACGGGGGTAGAAACCAAGCGTCGTGTTGTCTCCTCCTCCACTCGTGTTCTTGCGCCATACGTCCACCCCTGAGGCTCTCGGAAACTTCCACAAGGCTCGCAGGTGGTCAGAAAAAATGCTCCGAACATCGAAGACTAAGTTGTTCGAGGTTTCGTCTTCGACTCCGTTCCCAGAGCCCCGACGTGGTCTGTTCATCGGGTCGGCGCCCTTGTTGTCGTGAAATTATCCTCGGAGGGCCTCTTTGTGACGCTCCCGAGAGAGGGGAGGAGGGAGGAGGGAGGAGGGAAGGAGGAGGGAGGAGGACGGATGGGGAGGAGGCGGATCTCGCGCACGGCGCTATCAGAGCCATCGAGGCTACGGATGAGGTAGGAGGAGGAGGAAGAGGAGGAGGCGGAGGAGGAGGAGGAGAAAGAGGAGGAGAAGGAGGAGGAAGAGGGGGAGGAAGGATTTGAAGCAGGACGGATGAGGAGAAGGATGACGACGACGAGCAGGAGGAGGAGAGGGAATGACGCCCGTCCTGGAGCCTCTTGGTGTCGCCGCGGCTCTCCTAGAGCGTGCTGGGGGTCCTGTGGCCTGTTCGGACTCTTCGGGGCCTCTTGGGGCCTCTTGGAGCCTCCTGGGCCCTCTGGAGCTCCCTGAGTGTAATTCAAAATGGGTCCTCGGGGGGGCTCTTGAGATCTCGTGGGCTCTCCCGGGGCCGCCATGGGCCCTCCTGGAGCCTCCGTGGGCCCTCTAAGAACTCGCTCGCGGGGGCGGAATGATGAAAACAATTTCACGCATGGGGGCCTTTCCGTTGAGAAGGGGGGCGCGGTGCAGAATGGGTCCTCCTGGGGCCCTCCGGAGGTCTCCTAGGCACTCTCGAGGCCGCCATGGGCCCTCCTGGAGCCTCTGGGGGCCTCTAAGAAGCCTCTCGTGGGGGCTGAAAAATGACGACAGTTTCACGGATGGGAGCCTTTCCGTTGAGAAGGGGAGCGCGGTGAAAGGTAATAAAGTGACGACAGTGTCGCATTTGAGGCCCCAAATCGTCCTTGGGCACCTCGGGCGCGAATCCCGCTCCCGCATAGTACGGCGCGAGCGATTTCCCCTCCCCCCGCTGTCCCGCCGGACCCCGGGAGGGTGATTTTTGTGGTTTTCGCTTGTAAGAAACACTTCCCCCCCCCTCTCGACGGTGACGGAGGGCAGGCGGCGGGGGTGGGCGGGTTGGCGGGGTGGCGGGTTGGCTGGGGTTGCGGGGTGGCTGGTTGGGCTGGTTGAGTTGTTTGGGTGGCTGGTTGGTTGGGTTGGCTGGTTGGGCTGGCTAGGGCAATTGGTTTCGACTCTCCCTCTTCCCCTGATGACGTCTTGGGAATGTTCGCCCCCCCCCCCCCCCGCGTACTGTTTTTTTACACAGGTTTCCCGGAGTTGGGTTTTCGCTTGCATTGCATTTTTTTCCAAAATGCTGCTCTCGCTGAGGCGCCGGCCTCATTTCCGGGCCCCGCTCGTTCCGAATCGTGCTCCCGCTGCAGCGCTGGTATCATTTCCGTGCTTCCGCTCGTTCCGAATCGTGCTCCCGCTTCAGCGCTGGCCTCATTTCCGCGTTTCCGCTCGTTTCGATTCGTGCTCCCGCTGCAGCGCTGGCGTCATTTCCCGTGCCATGCCACGGCATGCAATGCAATGCTAGGTTGATGCTACGCTGCGCGGTGCTCTTCTACGCCATGCCATGCCGTGCTGTGCAATGCATCGCGTACCCTTTCGGGATCATCGCCCTGCTTGACATCCGATTGTGCGAGTAGAGAGGGGATCTGCGTCATGGTAAGGGATGGGAGGGAGGGGTAGGATGTCGGATATGACGCGAGCGCACCTAGCTTGCCCTAGTCCCGTCCCTTCCCTCCCAAACACCTCTACAATTAGTCAATATGAATACTACTCTCCCTCTTCCCCTGATGACGTCTTGGGGATGTTCGCGCCCCCCCCCCTCCCCTCCCGCGTATTGTTCCCCATATCCTAAGATGGGGTTCTTGTTATTACTTGGACGCCTCCTACTCCTCCTCCTCCTCCTCCTCCTTCCTCCTCCTTTCTCCTCCCCTCCTGTCGGACATACTCAGACTTGCTCATACACAGACTTACTCATACTCAGACTTACTCATACTCAGACCTACTCATACTCAGACTTACTCACACTCAGACATACTCATATACAGACTTACTCATACACAGACTTACTCATACACAGTATTAGTCATACCCAGACGTACACATACACAGACTTACTCATACACAGACTTACTCATACTCAGCACCCCTAAGGGGAGCCGCCAGGGGTGGTTGCACGGGCTCGTTCGCGGCCATTTTGTGGGGATGTCTCAGGCGGTTTGCCTGTTTCTGTGCCCAACATCCTTCGCTTTCGGAGCAGATTTGGAGGATGTCTCGAGCGAGGCGCTCATTTCAGCACCCCTAAGGGGAGCCGCCAGGGGTGGTTGCACGGGCTCGTTCGCGGCCATTTTGTGGGGATGTCTCAGGCGGTTTGCCTGTTTCTGTGCCCAACATCCTTCGCTTTCGGAGCAGATTTGGAGGATGTCTCGAGCGAGGCGCTCATTTCAGCACCCCTAAGGGGAGCCGCCAGGGGTGGTTGCACGGGCTCGTTCGCGGCCATTTTGTGGGGATGTCTCAGGCGGTTTGCCTGTTTCTGTGCCCAACATCCTTCGCTTTCGGAGCAGATTTGGAGGATGTCTCGAGCGAGGCGCTCATTTCAGCACCCCTAAGGGGAGCCGCCAGGGGTGGTTGCACGGGCTCGTTCGCGGCCATTTTGTGGGGATGTCTCAGGCGGTTTGCCTGTTTCTGTGCCCAACATCCTTCGCTTTCGGAGCAGATTTGGAGGATGTCTCGAGCGAGGCGCTCATTTCAGCACCCCTAAGGGGAGCCGCCAGGGGTGGTTGCACGGGCTCGTTCGCGGCCATTTTGTGGGGATGTCTCAGGCGGTTTGCCTGTTTCTGTGCCCAACATCCTTCGCTTTCGGAGCAGATTTGGAGGATGTCTCGAGCGAGGCGCTCATTTTCACCCCCCAGGTGGGCCAGATTTTGAGGATGTCTCGATCGGTTTGCTAGTTTTGGTGGCCAGGCTCGTGGGCGCAGATTCTTCTCAGGATGCCACAGGAGGCTCCAACAGGCTCCAGGAGGCTCCAGGAGACCACATGAGGTCCCAGGAGGCATCAGGAGGCCACAGAAAGACTCAAGAGGCCACAGGATGTCCCAAGAGGCTCCAGGAGGCCCCAGGAAGCTCCAGAAGGCCTGCTGCATTGAACAGCGGTGCTCCTCAGCCTGCGGCAGGGAACAGCGCTGCTCCTCAGCGTGCTGCATTGAGCGGTCCTCTGCAAACGCTCGTCGAGCACGTGAAGCAGTTCGGCCGGATACCGAAGCGAAATAAAGGAACGTCCGAATAAGAACGGGCCGAAAACAAGTTGGCCAAACGTTTCTCGCAGTGGCAGTCGCAGTAGGCTACAACTACTGGCAGTGCCACTGCGACTGCCGCTGATGTTGCCACTGCGACTGCCACTGCGAATCCGAATGCGACTGCGAGAACACCAGAATTCTACAACAGCACTCTTACATGAATACCACAGGCAATGTTTCCAGCTATGCTTCTACACGTCGCTGTTAGGTTGCTTTGCCGGGATAATTTTTTTCCCAAAATAATGCTGCTCTCGCTGAGGCGCCGGCCTTATTTTCGGGCCCCGCTTGTTCCGAATCGTGCTCCCGCTGCAGCGCCGGCATCATTTCCGCCGGCGCCCTGGCTGCACGCCCGAGCTGGCGCCCGGGCTGGCGCTCGGGCCAGGTCCGGAGCCGGTTCCGGCCGCCGCCAGAAAATCAAGTTCCGAGGCGGCGCCGAAAAAAGGCCATTCCAATCCACATTTTTCTTTTGAAAATGTTGAATTTCTGCTTCCGGCGCCCGGGAGGCCTCCCGGGCCGATTCCGACGCCACAGGCCGGCGCCCGAGCCGGCGCCCGGGCCGGACGCCCGAGCCGGCGCCCGGGCCGGCGCTTCTGGCGCCCGGGAAGCCTTCTCCGGAGTTAGGTTTTCGCTTGCATTTTTTCCCAAAATGCTGCTCTCGCTGAGGCGCGGGCCTCATTTTCGGGCCCCGCTCGTTCCGAATCGTGCTCTCGCTGCAGCGCTGGCCTCATTTCCGTGCTTCCGCTCGTTCCGAATCGTGCTACCGCTGCAGCGCTGGCCTCATTTCCACGCTTCCGCTCGTTTCGACTCGTGCTCCCGCTGCAGCGCTGGCGTCATTTCCCGTGCCATGCCACGGCATGCAATGCAATGCTAGGTTGATGCTACGCTTCGCGGTGCTCTTCTACGCCATGCCATGCCGTGCTCTACAATGCATCGCGTACCCTTTCGGGATCATCGCCCTGCTTGACATCCGATTGTGCGAGTAAAGAGGGGA